ATTGACATCACTTGCACCTGGAATGACACAATGAATTGGAACAACAGAGCCTTTCTTTAATATTCCATCAATCGGTGTATATATTTGACATTTTTTAGTTTGAAATTGACTATAAATCAGAGGAAATTTAATTGATCGTCGAAGTTTATTAACATTAAGATTGAATCGGACAACAGATTTCGATGACGATTCATTATCATTATTTCTTTTAGCATAAACAATGAGCTCATGTAGACCTGTTCGTTCAGGTGCAAATAAAAGTTGCCAAAGTTTTTTTTCATTATTATATTGAGTCAATGATCCATTTTCAACTTTAACATTATTATATTTGATATCGCATGAAAGTTGAACATCATCAGGTGTTCGAATAAGAACTTCAGCATATGATGCATTATCAACCCAAATAGCATTTGAACGATTTCGTGGTGCTTCAATTTTGAGATCAAAATCATAAAAAGATGGCCACGTATAAGGATAAGACATGGGTGGTGATGGAATTTGTCTTGCTTCAATTTTAAATGCAACAGCAGATGTATAACTTCCAGGATCAGATTTCTTCTTAGCCATGATAAGTACTTCGAAAAGACCATTTCGATCAGGTGCAAAGTAACATCGCCAGATATTTTTTCGTCGATCAAAATAAACTTGATCGCCACCTGTGACTTCTTCTTTTCGTTCATTCTCAAGACGTCCAAGAAGTTCAACATTTTCTGGTGTTTTAATAAGAATCTGTGCATGATTAACCCCATTATTAAGTTTAATTAGATGTGTATTTTGAGGAGAAATAACTTCTAAACCTAAGTCGGAAAAGTTCTTCCAAGTTTGTGGAAAACTAACAATAGTTTTTGGTATTTGTTTCACATCGAGTTTAAAGTCCAATGCTGGAGTGTACTGACCGCTATCTGAATCACCTCTTTTTCCGAAAATAGTTATTGTATGTTTACCAATGTTTGTTGGTGCAAAATAACAACGATAAAGTTGTTCGTGTCTATCAAACATGATATAATGACCACCATCGATTTTTTCATTATTGAATTTTAAAGCTGCTATGAGACGAACATCTGAAGGTGTTCGTAGAAGAATTAAAGCATATGATTTACCAGGAAGAAGATCAACATGAGCTTGATTACGTGGACTAACTAATTCAATATGTAAATCAAAGTAAAGTGGACGAAATTCAGGCATTTGTAAATATTGTGTCATTTTTATTGGTGTTCGCAATAATTGCCATTTTTCATTTTCAGGTAAATGATGATAAATCATTTCATTTGGATGTGGAAGAAAATAATATGATGATAATTCACGTTTAAATTGTTTTGTATCATCTAAATGTCCAGCACCCCATGTTGATTCCATTAAATACCACTGATGATCAATCTCAACAGCATTCCATGCATGATCTATTTCACTAGGAGCATCTGTACGATCTTCAAATCCATAACCTTTTGAATATCCACTAACAACTTCACATGGCATTTCTAATTGATCAGATAAATATTTATATAAATTAGCATAACCAGCACAAACACCTTTCTTTGCTCGAAATACTCCTTCTGCAGTTTGATCACCATATTGGCCACTAAAATATGATACAGTATCATATTCAATATTAGATGCAATCCAATAGAAAATAATCCAATGGCGATCAAGAAAAGATTTTCCTTGTGAAAATGCTTTAATAGTTTCAGTAAGTTGTTGAAGAGATTTTGGTCGCCATGA